CGGATGGTCGAGATGAACTCAATTGTCTCCGTCCTTGGGAAGCAACGTATGCTACACGAATACAGCAGCAGCTCAACTGTTCACAAACGGAGCACTATTGTGTCCAACTGTTAGGTGCTACCTACTTGCCTTTGACGAGGGCAGGCGATGGTGTGATTGATTGTCTGGGGGCAACGGACGAGAGGCGTACAGCAAATAAATGTTATGAGAAACATCCGTTTCTGCCCGATAAACGGTTTCTCTGCGTAAATACAACTGGTGAATCGTTTCTCGTCTGTTTAACACCCGAACAAGTATGTGATGGACAAGTTCAGTGTCCCGCCGGCGATGATGAAAGAGTTTGTTATCATCCGCGATGTCCAGAGTACGACCAATCTAATGTCGACTCTCGCTTTGAAAATGCCTTGTTCTGTGATCTCAGAGATCGAAACACGAGAGAGGGATGGATGAGTGAAATTGAAAACTATTTGCCGGCTGTAGTTGCTGAAGGAAAAGGACTCTCGTCCGTTGAAGAAAAACTTCGTCTCTGGTATTGTAACCGTGGAATTCTGCTGCTGCTTAAGTCAGGAGTAGAATGTCTCTGTCCATCGTTGTGAGTACCAAGCGTCACGTCTAAGTGTCATAGTGAAACTGGCCCCTGCCTACTTCATTGATCCGACGACGGTGTTTCGACTGGTTATCTATCTTCTAAGCAACGAGAACAACAGCACAGTTTTATCGTACGAGGAGACTTTGTACAATCCATACTATCACCTGACCGATTTATTGAACCGCGATAAACCTTACATCGCCTACTTGCCTTATCAACATAATCTTCTTCCCTCACATGTGCGTATCGATTTATTTGTCATCAACTCAACTTCTGTCACGTACATCTCAAGTTGGCTTTTCAAGGTCTTATTTTCTTCATTTCTACCTGTACACGATTGGCTGTTTCCTTATCGATTGAAAATGAACAACACAAGTGTAAGACAAAAAACTTTCGTTGTGGGAAACACGGATAGTGCATGTCTTATTTGAATTGGGCAAGGAAACAATTCTGTCGGTGTGAGCGGGGCTGGTACGGTGACCGCTGTCAGCATGAGTCTTCATCGTCGCCTTGCTCTTCTTGTTTACCACACTCACAATGTCTCGTGATCAACGGTCGGGAGGAAAAGTGTCTTTGTCCACTGGAAAAGTACGGTCCACAGCGTTATCTCACGTACGACCATTGTTCCAAAGGTACTTGCAAGCAGAACAGTACGTGTGTACCGATGGATTAGGCATGATGTGGAAAGGACGTTTAGTGTGGAATTTTGGGGCAATACAGGGAACATTAGTTGAAGCATATAAGCCAGAGAATATAACAAAATAAGTCAATCAAAGGAATCGACTACTTTAGTGTAAATGCATCGTGTCTACATGCATCGTAGTACATTGAAAAAATTATTACCAATTCTTTTTTGAAGTTCATGCATAGTGCTGATGATTGGGGACTAGCTACTTTGAAAATGCATCGTGGTTCTATGGTGTAGCGGTAGCACTCTGAACTTTGAATCCAGCAACCCCAGTTCAAATCTGGGTAGGACCTGTATTTTTTTCTTGATCGGATTTCGAATTGTGGGTAGTAGTAGATTATGAACAATATGTAGAATGCCTGTTCCTTGTTCACGTTGTTCGATTGCTCTCTGCGTCGATAGTATCCAAATCCAACGAGCTTGGTTCAAGTATCATTCAGAATCTGACAGTTACTTTAGGGGAAAAAATGAAAGTGCGCCTTCACAAGATTTGAATACCAGGTTATATACTTCAATATACGCTGTATTTAATTGCCACGGGAAGTTTTTTTCTATGTCCCCTGTCAAGTGAGAAAATCTTTATGCAATTTTTCCTTTAAAAACAGACCTATGGATATAGAAATATTGTCTCTATATATTTCTCGCGAAACCGAATATAATAATCTCAACAATTATACATAGTTCGAAACTAGATCTGTCAGTCATGTATTCGTATAAAGAACTTTTTCCCAGTAGGTTTTGGAACCGAGAAAATATTTGTTCTTCCACCAAGTGTTTTCCGAAAATGTGTGTCCAGTAAAGTGAGGCTTCTTCTTTTTCGAAAACTCCAAACTAAATGAGAATAACAGGTATTCCACTTCTATATATACGACATCTACAGAAGATAGCGCAAATATAAATCACTTTCATTAAGAAAATCGAACTCGTTCTCCGTCTCTTTTATGACGCAACGCAGTCGATCAGCAGTCAAATATATCCAACTATTGAGATGACTTACTTTGCTATTACCGGCATTCGAGATTTTTTGGCCGATCCCGAAACGGATCGATACCCCCAAAGTGAACTTGGTGATGCTGAATTTTTCTGGAAGGAGCCTTTTATTTTAGTTAATAAATTGAATGACAAAGAAAAAGGCAGCATTGTGAGTGAATTTATTCATCGCAGCAGTGAGAAAAATCGATGAACGTTGAATGAACAGCGTTATGGAAAAGAGTCAAAAAACATAAATAAAACTTCTTGTTTAAAGCGATGACGATCATCGGTATTCAGAATTTGTTAAAGAAAGTTATAATGGCGACAATCATTGTTGGAAGGATCCAATGCATTGCTGACTTTGTACCTACGGTTCAGGATAATAAATCATACGAGAAAAGTAAACTGACATCTTCCTTACCTGTGGATCGATAGTAATTCGAAGTGGCATTGAACACCGGAGTCGAGACCGTAGTTGACACTGTCGATACTGTCGAACTATGAATTGTAGTGGCGTTGGTGGTCGATGATGCAGCGATTGCTGTGGTGGTACTCGCGTGGCTAGTGTTTGTATTGTATACTGTTGTGTTAGGCAGAGAAGATGACATAGTGCTGCTTCTAATAGTTGTTGATGGAAAAGTTATTAGTGATACTGTTGATACTGTCGAACTATGAATTGTAATGGCGTTGGTGGTCGATGATGCACCGATTGCTGTGGTGGTACTCGCGCGGCTAGTGTTTGAAGTGTATACTGTTGTGTTAGGCAGAGAAGATGACATAGTGCTGCTTCTAATAGTTGTTGATGGAAATGTTATTAGTGATGATGGATAGTTAATGCCATTCAAACATGTCGTCATGTCCACATTGCAACTGTTTGTTATGCATGCACAATTTGCTTCAGTATAATTAGCATAAGGTCCGTATACATCGTATGGAAATATTGACATTATGTTCGATGAACCTTCATACGCATAACTTGAGGCCGGGTGATCAAAAGTTATAAGAGAGAAGATGCCAACAATGATCCCTTCGTAACTAGCTCGACTTAATGCGATTTGTCCTAAGTTACCGTTTGTCGGATCATAAACTACAAAACATAGAACAGCATTTGCAGATGCATAATCAGCACAGGCTGACCTATTTATTGTCAGAACAAGACCGAACATTTGATCACAGACGTAGAAAGGATCTGAAATTGAACATGTGATCAAGGTGGTTAAGTGAGGTACGACAACTGGTAGTTGAGGTGGTGGAGAAGACATTGCTTGAGTGACAGACGTTTGACATGTGGATAAGGTTGTCGAACAGGTATTTGTTGAACAAATACAGAGCGTCACTGATGTCGCTAATTCATACGGATACAGTGTACACGAACCGTAACCTATATCTAATGAAGATGAAAAGCCGCAGAGTTCAATAGCTCTCTCCCGATAATCGTTGACGTATGTTAGAGAATATTGCTGGACGATCACTTGGGACACTCCATTCACTACAGCATTTTCTTGCACGACAAGACAGTAATCGGCACCGTATGTAAGTTGATTGTACATGGAAGTTATTGTGCCGTTGGAGTATGTTGTTGTCACGCTCTCCATACATGTCAAATTTCGTCTCGTATAACTCAACGATGCATTCGCTGGACCAAGTAGCAGTGGCATAGTCATGGCAAATTGCAAGCACAGAATACATAGAAAAAGGAACACCTTCATAACCATTGGTTGAACAGGATGGATATGCGTGTGCGTAATGCTTTAAGTTTTAGTTGGAAGAACAGATCTAGCAGAAATGCATGTATTTGTACCAGCGAAGAGAGAATCAAAATACTAATGATACTTATGAACTCGAATCTGTTAACAGCGTAACTACTTTGTATAATTCCATTTTATTGGGTATTTAAAGACAAAAGATAGGAATTAGAATGGTAGTAGTCGAAAGCTCTTTAGTAGAAAATCGTATTTAATAATTGATGGCTAAGGGGGAAACGCCTGAAGATCAAAAGAAAAGTATATATCGTGATATATTAACTTTACGTATATTATTGATTGGTTTTTATATTATTTTATTCTATAATTATTCATCATCAAATATAAATACAGTCACATTTGATATTATTAATAATAAAACATTCATTGAACAAACTTCTAAAGTTAATCGTTTTGATAATAACGTCAAATACCCCCGTCTATTATCATACATCAAATAGTATCGATTATATGTAATATTATAATTTTAATTTATAATGTAGCATTAGTTCATGAGATATGGTTTGTACCAAAATTGTGCAGAATAGAGTATATTGCATCATTATCATTACCTTTTTTTATATTGATTAT